GCAGGGGATGAGATGAAAAGCTATAAGCCTTCTCCCTGAAAGCTGGCTGCCTTGGATCAAACGTGTAGCTCATGCTACACCCCAAATGTATTGGTCCAGTGTGGGTAGATTGGTAAAGCACTGCGTACCTTGTCCTAAGGTTCGTAGGTTCGAGTCTCCTTCAGCCAGAGATCAGTGTTTGTGTATATTTCGCATGCTCTCGCGAATTCCTTGTATTGTTCAAATCTCTAGTAAGGCTGATGCATGCAGGGGATGAGATGAAAAGCTGTAAGCCTTCTCCCTGAAAGCTGGCTGCCTTGGATCAAACGTGTAGCTCATGCTACACGCCAAGGTATTGGTCCAGTGTGGTAGATTGGTAAAGCACTGCGTACCTTGTCCTAAGGTTCGTAGGTTCGAGTCTCCTTCAGCCAGAGATCAGTGTTTGTGTATATTTCGCATGCTCTCGCGAATTCCTTGCATTGTTCAAATCTCTAGTAAGGCTGATGCATGCAGGGGATGAGATGAAAAGCTGTAAGCCTTCTCCCTGAAAGCTGGCTGCCTTGGATCAAACGTGTAGCTCATGCTACACGCCAAGGTATTGGTCCAGTGTGGGTAGATTGGTAAAGCACTGCGTACCTTGTCCTAAGGTTCGTAGGTTCGAGTCTCCTTCAGCCAGAGATCAGTGTTTGTGTATATTTCGCATGCTCTCGCGAATTCCTTGCATTGTTCAAATCTCTAGTAAGGCTGATGCATGCAGGGGATGAGATGAAAAGCTGTAAGCCTTCTCCCTGAAAGCTGGCTGCCTTGGATCAAACGTGTAGCTCATGCTACACTCCAAGGTATTGGTCCAGTGTGGGTAGATTGGTAAAGCACTGCATACCTTGTCCTAAGGTTCGTAGGTTCGAGTCTCCTTCAGCCAGAGATCAGTGTTTATATATATATATATATATATATATATATTATATATATATATATATATATATATATATATATATATACCTGGAGAGGGTTCCGGGGGTCAACGCCCCCGTGGCCCGGTCTGTGACCAGGCCTCATGGTGGATCAGGGCATGATCAACCAGATTGTTACTGTTGGCCGCACGCAAAGTGACGTACGAACCACAGCCCAGAGAGAAGAGAAGATGTGAATTAGAAAGAGAGAGACGTTACCTATACAGGCAAAGGCAAGGAATCACAGAACTGTTGAAAGGGACCAGCATATCTGGAATACGAAGGGAGGCACTGGTCAGACAAATAGCAAACATTGAACTTAAGCGTAAGGAATCATACAGGAGACAAGAAACTCAGGAACTTAAAGTCGTCAATGAAATTAAAAAAAAAAAAATTCTATTCTTATGCCAAATCTAAGGCAAAAATGACATCAAGTATTGGATCCCTGCGTAGACATGATGGGACATACACAGATGACAGCAAAGAAATGAGTGAGATACTAAAGTCCCAAACGATTCAGTGTTTAGCGAGCCATTAACCGGACTTAGAATCTAAAATCTAAATGATTTTTTTATGACAGACTTGAAATTTAGTAAATCCAAAAATCTCCGATATTACCCTAACACAAGAGTTCCATAAAACAATAAATGACATACCCATTAACTTGGCCCAAGACCCAGACTCGTGGAACTCTGTGTTCATTAAGAACTGCAAGAAGGGCCCAAGACCCAGACTCGTGGAACTCTGTGTTCATTAAGAACTGCAAGAAGCCCCTTTCACATGCCTTCAGCATTCTATGGAGAGGGAGCATGGACACAGGATCCTTCCCATAGTCACTAAAAAAGACATAGCCCTGCTCCACAAAGATGGCAGTAATGCAATTGCAAAGAATTACAGGCCGAAAGCACTAACATCCCATATAAAAATCTCTGAAAGGGCTCTAGGAAGCAAGATCGTCACGCACCTAGATACCCATCAATTACACAACCCAGGGCAACATGGGTTTAAAGCAGGTCGCTCCTGCCTGTCCCAACTACTAAACCACTATGACAAGGTCTTACATAAATAACAAAAAAAAAGGCACAATACCGTGACTGGAACGATATACAAATAACCCGCACATAGAAGAGAGGAGCTTACGACGACTTTTCGGCCCGAGTTTGTAAATGGTCCAAGTCGGACCGAAACGTCGTCGTAAGCTCCTCTCTTCTATGTGCGGGTTATTTGTGTAAAGGTCTTACATGCACTAGAGGACAAACAAAATGCAGATGAAGTATACACAGGTTTTGCGAAAGCCGTCGATAAGTGTGACCATAGTGTAACAGCGCTCAAAATGCGTGATAAAGGAATAACAGGAAAAGTTGGTACATGGATCTATAACTTCTTAACAAATAGAGCACGAAGAGTAGCAGTAAACAAAGTAAAGTCAGCGGCGGCTACAGTGAAAAACTCGGTTCCACAAGGCACTGTACTTGCTCCCATCCTGTTCCTTTTCCTCGTATCTGTCAGAGATGTAAGCCACAGCACCGTGTCTTCCTTTGCAGATGATACCCGAATTTGCATGATGGTGTCATCCATCGAAGATGCTGCAAGACTCCAAGCGGACGCGAAGAACAACATGAAGTTCAATGAAAAGAAATTTCAGTTACTTCGATGTGGAAAACTCGAGAAAATTAAAACCTTATCAGAGTATAAAACAAATTCCAACCACACAGTAGAGCGAAAAAACTAATATGAAAGGCCTGGGAGTGATAATGTTAGAGGATCTCACTTTCAAGAATCACAACAATGTTTCTATCACATCTGCTTAAAAAATGATAGGATAGATATTGAGAACCTTCAAGACTAGGGATGAGAACCCATGATGGTTCTCTTCAAATTGCTTGTTCTCTCTAGGCTGGAATATTGCTGTACGCTGATGACCCCTTTCAAGGCAGCGGAAATTGCAGATCTAGAGAATGTACAGAGAACTTTCACGGTACACATAAATACGATAAAGCACCTAAATTCCTGGGAACGTTTGAAGTCCCTTGATTTGTATTTCCTGGAATGCAGGCGAGAAAGATACATGATAATTTACACTTGGAAAATCCTAGAGGGACTAGTCCCAAATTTGCACACGAGAATCACTCCCAACAAAAGCAAAAGACTGGGCAGGAGATGCAGCATCCCTTCAATGAAAAGCAGAGGCGCCAAGAGTACGATAAGAGATAATACAATAAGTGCCAGGGGCCCAAGACTGTTCAACTGCCTCCCAGCATTCATTAGGAGGGTTATCATTAGACCCCTGGCTCTCTTCAAGAAGGCACTGAGCAGGCACCTTAAGTCAGTACCTGACTAGCTGGGCTGCGGTTCATACGTCGGTCTGCGTGCGACCAGCAGTAACAGCCTGGTTGATCAGGCCCTGATCCACTACGAGACCTGGTCACAGACCAGGCTGAGGGGGCATTGGTCCCCGAAACCCTCTTCAAATATACTCCAGGCCTTCAGCTGGCTTACCGGTCCACCATTGAAAAAATTATTCTTTTGTTCATCATATGGCAGTACTATAACTTTTGTACATAATAGAGCCAAAGCGGAAACATTCTCTGACTTGTGAAGAAAATCGACGATTCATTCAGTGTGCAGCCCTTGTCCTCCCTTTTGTCTGTTTTGTTAATAGTTCTGGAATTCATGTGCTCTCTTCTATGTATTTTTTTCTGGGCTTCATGTGTTTATATTTGTTCTGTTAGTTTGGGATTCATATGCTCCGTCGTATCTTTTGTTAATAGTTCAATAGTTCATGTGCTCCCTTGTATCTGTTTTGTTAGTTCTTGGTCTCATGTACTCCCATATATCTGTTTTGTTAATAGTTCTGGGGATCAGGTGCTCCCTTCTGTCTGTAATGTTAATAGTTCTGGGACTCAGGTGCTCCCTTCTGTCTGTAATGTTAATAGTTCTGGGACTCAGGTGCTCCCTTCTGTCTGTAATGTTAATAGTCCCAGGGTTCATCGCCATTGCGGCTGAGTCTCGGACTGAGTCTTCTAAATTAGAAAGGGAATACAGTAATTACAAGACTAAGAACTATTAAAATACAGTAAAATATATATACCGAATGAACTGTAAGTAGAAATTTGCGATTTTTAATTGTGATCTTATATGTTCATGAGGCAGAAAGAAAATGATCCTGCTTAACACTGACATAACACGAGGGTAGCACCTCCCTGGATGGAGAACAAAAAGGCACAGTACCCTGACTGGAACAGTACACAAATAACCTGCACTTATGAGAATGAAGCTTATGACGACGTTTGTGCAGCATAACTTGCGTCTGATTTAATGTAAACAATTATTTAGACCCTTTTTAAACAAATCATTTCCACAATTATGACAGTTTTTAGCAAACAGTTGTAGCTTCCAAGTGTTTGATTGCTAAGACTCGGTTGACTTGGACCATTAACTGAGGTCTCCTTCCTTCAGTCTTAGCAATCAAACACTTGGAAGCTACAACTGTTTGCTAAAAACTGTCATAATTGTGGAAATGATTTGTTTAAAAAGGGTCTAAATAATTGTTTACATTAAATTAGACGCAAGTTATGCTACACATAAACTATTGTAATGCTCCAAACACCGTTGTCTCATTATTTTAATTGAGGGTCATACAGCACCTGGGGCATATGAAGTAATCAGTTTTGCCTGAAAGAAAAGGAGGGTAACTCCAATTCCTTGTATCAAGAACTCTTCACCGGCATGAAGGAACTTTCCTTGAAATGGACATCATGTTCAGTGAAATTATTTATATCCGTATTTGCTACCACACCATCATGTATCTTTCCTAAATACTTTTAGCATTGCTTTGTAAGAGTTAAGATGCTCTCCAAAACTTACACTGGTACTGTGCATCAGCTGTCCTTTGGTAGAAATTGATATTTAGATGAATGTGTATTTGCAAGAAACATTAAGTTTTTTTGTTCTCCCTCTTATTTATCATTAAATAATTCTAGTGGTCGTGTATATTTAATTCATATTACTTAGAGATAATGGACTGTGATGTTTGTTATATTTTAAAATATATAATCTTCTCCGTTACAGGCCCCGAGTGTTCTTCAGAGCATGGCACAATGCCTTAGATTGTTTCCTGGTGGTATTTACGTTTATTCTCTCTGTGGTCACCGTGTGTGTGGAGAACATGTCTTCCAACCCTGCTAGGTGAGACACTGTATTATTGTGTGAGTGTATGAAAATGGTTTTGAAAATCGACAATGAGACACGTGCAACATTTGGGAATCTTGAGGAAACGATTAGCCAGTCAGTGGCTTCTTCAATCCAATACAGAGAATAAAAGTGGAAGATGAGGAGTTTCACGTAATCAGTCCCTCAACCTGAGTCGATGTGTTCAGTTCAGTAACAGCCTGGTTGATCTGGCACTGATCCACCACGAGGCCTCTGTATTATACTGTAGAAGCCACTCACTGGCGAATCGTTTCCTCAGTAAATATTCCCAACTGTTGCACAAGTGTGAATGTATGCTAAGCAGTATTTTGTTCATGTGTCAGAATGTAGCTGGTGATTTACCACAAAGCAATACGTAGACTTGGGTTTGCACTGCACCAGGTGTTTGTGTGTTTCATCAAGTACATTGAAATAAGTTCAAACATAAACAGAGCGAAAACTACTATGATTTAGTAGATATTACAGAAAATACATACAGCTCGAATTAACGTCATATTTAGATTTATTGCTTAGAATTGCGGTGTGTTGATTTAACTCTGGGAATATATCTTCTCGCACAGTTCTGGTTATTACTAGCATTTCTGGCAGACTACTAAAATTAGTACTGATGAACTGCCTAATGCTAATACAAACATTTGAATAAAGTTTCAATTTAAGTTTTGTGTGGCTATTCACCATGCATAAATTCTGTACATAATGAAGTGTATTAGATTTCAGTGATGAGGTAGCAATTGCATAAGCTGGCGGTAGTTTAGTTACTTTATTATGTTTATTATGCACCCCAGACCCATCCTGTGGGCGGTAGTCAAAAGATTACAGAGGTACATAATGGGTCCAGGAACTGGACTCCATATTTTGATAGCTGAGCAAATTACAAAGGTAATGAACTCCAGGTAGATACGGTCACAATCATGACAAGTTATAAAAGTATTACAGAGGTACATAATGGGTCCAGGGACTGGGCCCCAAGGTTTTGATAGCTCATCAAGTTACAAAGGTAATGAATCATGTAAGTAAATTACTTAGGTTTATACATGGGTACAGTCATGAACAAATTATAGAGTAATGAACAATTCACACGTCCACACCCCGTCACAATTGGCGGTATGCAATACAATTGACATAGGATTTTTTTTTTTCAGTTTTTGAATATATTGTAAGATAGAGATTCTTTTCATCTTTCTGGTAGGTTATTTCAGGTTTCTGATCCTTTGAGTTGCCTCGAGTTTTTACTCAGGCTGAGTCGTACACCTGTATGTGTATCAGTTGTATTACATACCAACGTGTATGTCAGTAAGACGCAATATTCAGTTTATGGCACTTCTTTGAGAACATGTCTCGTCCACCACAGACTTGATCAAGTCTGGGGGACGACCTTCGTTCATTCCTTCATTATGACTCTTGTTTATTTTCTTCTTGATTCATACTAAAACGCTTCATGCAATGTTTCATACTACAACGTTTCATACTAACATCTCGCATATTGTGTCATATTAACATCGTATATCGGGAATATCAACGAAGTACAATATTTATTAGTAGTACATATTATGCCTGTGTAGGCATAATAATAATAAATAATAATAATAATAATAATAATATATATCTACAAGTACATGTACAAGGTATACAGTCCTAGCTGACATCAATGACATGCTACCTTACCTTTACCTTACCATTGAAGAGTTTCGAGAGTTTCTCTACTCTCTGAGCCCGACCATGGGCCAGGCTCATCTGGTGCTTGCCTGGTCAACCAGGCTGTTGGTGCTGGAGGCCGACTGCTTCACATATCCATCACAGCCTGGTTGATCTGGCACCTGGAGTTTACCTGGAGAGGGTTTTGGGGGTCAATGCCCCTGTGGCCCGGTCTGAAACCAGGCCTCATGGTGGATCAGGGTTTGATCAACCAGGCTGTTACTGCTGGCTGCACGCAAGCTGACGTACGAACCACAGCCCGGTTGGTCAGGTACTGACTTTAGGTGCCTGTCCAGTGCCTTCTTGAAGATACTTGCCCAGTTTCCTCTAGAAGGCTTCTACACTCAGGCTTCTTCACTCAGATTACAACATAATAGAGGTACAGACATGTGTGCACAGGGCTCTGGACCAGCAAAATGTGAGCAGTCATGAAGGTCTCTTCATGAAATTCAATTTCAATAACAAAAACATACAATGGGACCAAGTAAACCATGTCCTAAATGAAACAAGCTGGGAAGATATCCTAAACAACACGGACCCGAACATCTGCCTTGAAAAAATGAATTCTGTGGTTCTTGAGATCTGCTCAAGACACACTCAATTAAGAAAAAGACAGAGAAGGTGCAAACTAGAAAGAGAGAGACTTTCCCTATAGAGACAAAGGCGAAGAGTCACAGAGCTGCTGAGTGGGGTCAATATATCTGAAATAAGAAGGGAAGCACTAGTCAATGAAATTGCAAATATCAAACTTAAGCTGAAAGAATCTTATATGAGACAAGAATCACAGGAAGAACTAAAAGCCATAAAGGAAATTTAAAAAAAAATAATACTTTTTCTCTTATGCCAAATCTTGGGAAACAACAACATCCACTATTGGGCCGCTGCTTAGGCAGGATGGGACATACACAGACGACAGCCAAGAAATGAGTGAGATACTAAAGTCCCAATATGACTCAGTGTTCAGCGATCCACTGCCCAAATGAATTCTTTATGAGTGAAACCCAAAATTCTGTCATCCCAAAACTCTCGCATATTATCATAACTCCACAAGATTTTGAAGAGGCAGTTAATGACATGCCCATGCACTCTGCCCCAGGCCCAGACTCGTGGAACTCCGTGTTCATCAAGAACTGTAAGAAGTCCCTATCATGTGCCTTCAGCGTTTTATGGAGAGGGAGCATGGACACAGGGGTCATCCCACACTCACTAAAAACAACAGACATAGCCCCACTCCACAAAGGTGGCAGTAAAGCAATTACAAAGAACTACAGACCGATAGCACTAACATCCCATATCATAAAAATTTTTGAGAGGGTTCTAAGAAGCAAGATAGCCAACCACCTAGATACCCATCAGTTACACAACCCAGGACAACGTGGGTTTAGAGCAGGCCACTCCTGCCTGTCCCAGCTACTGGACCACTATGACTAGGTCCTGGATGCTGAAGAGGATAAACATGATACAGATGTATACACAGACTTTGCAAAAGCTTTCGACAAATGTGACCATGGTGTAATAGCACACAAAATGCGTGATAAAGGAATAACAGGAAAAGTTGGTAGATGGATCTAGAACTTCCTGATAAATAAAACACAAAGCGTAATAGTAAACAGAGTAAAGTCCCAGGCAGCCATGGTAAAAAGCTCTGTTCCACAAGGCACTACTCGCTCCATTCTATTCCTCATCTTCATTTCTGACATAGAGATGTAAGCCATAACTCCATGTCTTCCTTTGCGGATGACACCCAGATCACAATGGCAGTGACCTTCATCGAAGACACCGCGAGACTCCAAACAGACATCAACCAAATCTTCGAATGGGCCACTCAAAACAATATGAAGTTCAACAAGGAGAAATTTCAACTACTCAGATATGGAAAACTTGAAGAAATTAAAAATGTCTCAGGGTATACGACAAATTCTAACCATACAGTAGAGTGGAAAAGTAATGTGAAGGACCTGGGAGTGATAATGTCAGAGGATCTCGCCTTCTTAGACCACAACAATGTATCTACCTCATCCACTAGGAAAATGATAGGATGGATAATGAGAACCTTCAAAACTAGGGATGCCAAGCCCATGATGATTCCCTTCAAATCGCTTGTGCTCTCTAGGCTGGAATACTGCTGTACACTAATGATCCCCTTCAAGGCTGGCGATATTGCAGACCTGGAGAGTGTACAAAGAACTTTCACGGCACACATAAGTGCGATAAGGCACCTAAACTACTGGGAACGGATGAAGGTCCTTGATCTGTATTCCCTCGAACGCAGGCGAGAGAGATACATGATAATATACACTTGGAAGGTCCTGGAGTGATTGGTACCAAACCTGCACACGAAAATCACTCCATATGAAAGCAAAAGACTCAGCAGGAGATGCAACATTCCCCCAATGAAAAGCAGGGGCGCCACGAGTACACTGAGAGACAACACAATAAGTGTCCGGGGCCCAAGACTGCTCAATTGCCTCCCAGCATACATAAAGGGGATTACCAATAGACCCCTGGCTGTCTTCAAGAAGGCACTGACAGGCACCTAAAGTCAGTACCTGACCAACCGGGCTGTGGTTTGTATGTCAGCTTGCATGCAGCCAGCAGTAACAGCCTGGTTGATCAGACCCTGATCCACCATGAGGCCTGGTCTCAGACCGGGCCGCGGGGGCGTTGACCCCCAAAACCCTTTCCAGGTAAACTCCAGGTAACTTGTTCCAGCCGTGTTTTTGATATCTTCTGGTAAGATGTTGAATAGTCTGGGACCCCGGATGTTGATACAGTGTTCCCTTATTGTACCCGCTGAACCCTGCTCCTCTCTGGGTGTATTTTGCACTTCCTTCCATATATCTCACTCCAGTATGTTGTTATGGCAGTGTGCAGATTTGGGACCAGTCCCTCGAGTAGTTTCCAGGTATATATTATCATGTATCTCTCTCTCTTCTGCTTCAGTGAGTACATGTTCAAGACTTAAAGACGTTCTCAGTGATTTAGATGCTTTACTGGCTCAGTGTGAGCCGTAAACGATATCTGTATTTCTTCCAGCTCTTATATTTCTCCTGCTTTGAATGGAGCCGTCAGCACTGAGCAGTATTCTAAGTGAAGGAGCACTAGCGATTTGAAGAGTGTCACCATCGACATTGTTTCCCTTATTTTGAAAGTTCTCAATACCCACCCCGTCATCTTCCTGGCTGTCGTGATTTTTGTCTTGTTATGGTCTTTAAAAGAAAGGTCAGCTGACATAATTATTCCCAGGTCTTTTACGTGTTCCTTGCGTTCTATTTGGTGACCCTCTTGAGTTTTGTATATAGTGTTCCTTTTAAGTTCTTCATTCTTTCCATACCTAAGTAGCTGGAACTTTTCGCCACTGAACGTCATGTTGTTCTCCACTGCCCAGTGGAAAACCCTGCTTATGTCTTCCTGTAATTTTTCAGTGTGCTCTCCCATAGTGACTTTTATGCTTATTTTAGTGTCATCTGCAAATGATGATACAAAAGTGTGCCGGGTATTTTTATCTGTCTGCTATGAGGATGAGAAACAGCAGAGGTGCCAGGACAGTGCTTTTGACCTCGCTGATGCTGGATCTTGCCCTGTTCACTACTACTTTTTGTGTTCTGTGTGTTAGGAACCCGAAAATCCATCTGCCTACCTTCCCCGTAATGCCCATGGCCATCATTTTGTGCTCTATCACTCGATGATCACATTTGTCAAGTGCCTTTGCAAAATCTGTGTAAATCACATCTGCGTTTTGATCGTATTCCAATGCCTCCGTAATTCTGTCTATATAGAAAGCCCCTTGTCATGCAGAGCACTTTGGGCAAATTAAGTCATTTTTGTCCCAAGATGCGACCCACGCCAGCCACTAACACCCAGGTACCAATTTTACTGATGGGTGAACAGTGACACCAGGTGTCTTAGGGAAACACGTCGTAATGTTTCCACCCATACCGGGGATTGACCCGCGGACATCACTGTGTGAACTGAGGTCACTAGCAGTTGAGGTACGGAACATATTATGCCTGTGTGGTCTCTTGCAGCTCTCTAGACATCGTCTTGGCCCAGGGTTTTGCGATGAGTGTTTTGTACATGTAATATGCACAGTAGTAAGTCTAGATTCTTCGTACATTTAGAAGTATCATGTATGAATAGTGGCGAGTGTGCTGTCTGGTTTGTAGTTTTTTAGATGATTTGATAGAGTAGTATTGTATTTAGAAAGAACGATCATTGTTTTAGAAACTTGCCTAGATATATGTTGGCTGTGTTTGTTAAATTTAAGTTTACTGTCAAAGTGAATACCCAAGAAATTATCACTCATGTTGTATTTCAAGTGCTTTAAAGTGTTTTGATTTTTTAAGATAAAGTTATATTCACTGGAGAGTATGAAATACTGAGTGACTTTGGAGCATGATACCTGAGACTTTACCTATATTAGTACCTGTCAGTTACTATCTGTTGTGGTCTTGGAATAGACAGAAAGCCCGATGTAAGTTGCATTCTTCTTTCATTCTGCCTAATGAGTTTCTCTAGGTGAATAATGAAGTGTTGTTTTGGAAGGTAAACTCCAGAATATGTTTATCACTGTTTGGGAGAAGAATATCCTTGTTGTCTGTCCTGCTCAGTTTATTTTTGTATATGTCTCCTTCTATCTCTTGAAGTTGCTGGAGTTCCACTGTAGCACATGGACATGTGCTCCTTCTCACACCCAAGACTAGTGCACTCTCTGATTTATTTGTGTATTTACATATCTGTATCTTGCTATGCCTTGAAGGCATATCAAGACCATGAGCATTTTTATGTAGAGATTTGTTACTTAAGTTGTTATAACAGTTAGTATTAATTTTTAGAATCGGAAAATTTACTAAACTCATAATTTTTAAATAGTTCCCCATCAACTATATATATACCTTCATTAAAACTCAGCAGTTGAAGTTTGCCCTAAATGCTCCGCACTATACCTGGAGAGAGCTTCGTGGGTCAACGCCCCCGCGGCCCGGTCTGTGACCAGGCCTCATGGTAGATCAGGGCCTGATCAACCAGGCTGTTACAGCTGGCCACACGTAATCCAACATACGAACCACAGCCCGGCTGGTCAGGTACTGACTTTAGGTGCTTGTCCAGTGCCTGCTTGAAGACAGCCAGGGGTCTATTGGTAATCCCCCTTATGTATGCTAGGAGGCGGTTGAACAGTCTTGGGCCCCTGACACTTATTGTGTTGTTTCTTATCGTGCTAGTGGCACTACTGCTTTTCATTGGGGGATGTTGCAGCATCTGCTGGTTCTTTTGCTTTCGTAGGGAGTGATTTTCGTGTGCAAGTTTGGTATTAGTCCCTCTAGGATTTTCCAGGTATATAATCATGTATCTCTCCCTCCTGCATTCTAGGGAGTACAGGTTTAGGAACTTGAAGCATTCCCGGTAATTGAGGTGGTTTATCACAGTTATGCGGGCCGTGAAGGTTCTCTGTACATTTTCTAGGTCAGCAATTTCACCAGCCTTGAAAGGTGCTGTTAGTGTGCAGCAATATTCCAGCCTAGATAGAACAAGTGACCTGAAGAGTGTCATCATGGGCTTGGCCTCCCTAGTTTTGAAGATTCTCATTATCCATCCTGTCATTTTTCTAGCAGATGTGATTGATACAATGTTATGGTCTTTGAAGGTGAGATCCTCTGACATGATCACTCTCAGGTCTTTGACGTTAGCTTTTCGCTCTATTGTGTGGCTAGAATTTGTTTTATGTTCCGATGAGGTTTTAATTTCCTCACATTTTCCACATCGGAGTAATTGAAATTTCTCATCATTGAACTTCATATTGTTTTCTGCAGCCCATTTAAAGATTTGGTTGATGTCCACCTAGAGTCTTGCAGTGTCTTCAGTGGAGGACACTGTCATACAAATTCGGGTGTCATCTGCAAAGGAAGACACGGCGCTGTGGCTTATATCCCTATGTCCGACATGAGGATGAGGAACAAGATGGGGGAGAGTACTGTGCCTTGTGGAACAGAGCTTTTTACCATAGCTGCCTCAGACTTTATTGACTACTACTCTTTGTGTTCTATTTGTTAAGAAATTATAGATCCATCTACCGACTTTTCCTGTTATTCCTTTATCACACATTTTGTGCACTGTTACGCCATGGTCACACTTGTCGAAGGCTTTTGCAAAATCTGTATATATTACATCTGCTTTCTTTTTGTCTTCTAGGACCTTGTCGTAGTGATCCAGTAGTTGGGACAGACAGGAGCGACCTGCTTTAAACCCATGCTGCCCTGGGTTGTGTAACTGATGGGTATCTAGATGGGTGGTAATCATGTTTCTTAAAACCCTTTCAAAGATTTTTATGATATGGGACATTAGCGCTATTGGTCTGTAGTTCTTTGCTATTGTTTTACTGTCCTCCTTGTGGAGTGGGGCTATATCTGTTGTTTTGAGTAACTGTGGGATGACCCCAGTGTCCAAGCTTCCTCTCCACAGGATGTTAAAAGCACCTGATAGGGGCTTCTTGCAATTCTTGATGAGCACGGAGTGCCATGAGTCTGAGCCTGGGGCAGAGTGCATGGGCATGTCATTTATTGCCTTTTCAAAGTCATTTGGCGTCAGGATAATATCAGATAAGTGTGTGTCTACCAAATTCTGTCTCTCATAAAAAAATAATTTGGGTCTTCGACTGTCAGTCTAGTGGCTCGCTAAAAACCGAGTCATGTTGGAACTTGAGTAGCTCACTCGTTTCCTTGCTATCATCTGTGTAGGACCCATCCCGTTTAAATAGGAGCCCAATACTGGATGTTGTTCTAGACTTTGATTTGGCATAAGAAAAGAAATCCTTTGGGTTTCTTTCAATTTCATTTATGGCTTTTAGTTCTTCTCGCGTTTCTTGACTCCTGCAAGATTCATTTACCTTTAGTTCCATGTTTGCTATTTCTTTGGCCAATGTCTCCCTACGTATTGCAGATATATTAGCCTCTTTTAACCGCTCTGTTACTCTTTGCCTTCGTCTATATAGGGAGCACCTTTCTCTTTCTAGTTTTACATCTCCTCCTTTTCCTTAAGGGAATATGCCTTGAGAATACCTCAAGTGCCACAGAGTTCATTTGTTCTAGACATAGGGTAGAATCTATGTTGCTGAGTCTATCTTCCCAATTTATATCATTTAGGACTTGGATTACTTGGTCCCACCTTATGTTTTTGCTGTTGAAGTTGAATTTGGTGAAGGCTCCCTCGTGACTGATCATATTTGTCTTGTCTGGGGCTCCCCGCATTCATGTCTGGATGGACCTCTATTATGTTGTGATCTGAGTATATTGTTTTTGATATGATGACATTTTGTATGAGATCATCATTGTTAGTGAAAATGAGGTCCAGCATATTCTCCAGTCTTATAGGCTCTATTATTTGCTGGTTTAAGGTGAATTTGGTGCAGAGATTTAAAAGCTCGTGTGTGTGCAAATTTTCATCTGAGCTGCCTCCTGGTATTATCTCTGCTACCACATTATTTGCTATTTTCCTCCATTTTAGGTGCCTTTTCAAAAAATGTACCATTTATGTAATTATTTATTATTATTATTATTATTATTATTATTATTATTATTATTATATGTAGATAGAAATACTTTTCTAGGTAGTAGGTTGGTATACAGCAACTACCCAGGGAAGGAGAACCGTCCTGCCAAGTGAGTGTAAAACGGAAACCTGTAATTGTTTTACACGATGTTAGGATTGCTTGTGTCTTTTTTCTGTTTCATAAACATGCAAGAATTCAGGTATGTCTTGCTACTTCTGCTTTCACTTAGGACACACTACACATGCATAGACAAGCATATACTATATACACACACGCCCCTCTGGGTTTTCTTCTATTTATTTACTAGTTCTTGTTCCTGTTTATATTCTTCATGGGGAAGTAGAACAGAATTCTTCCTCTGTGAGCCATGCATGTCATAAGAGGTGACAAAAATGCCGGGAGCAAGGGGCTAGTAACCTCTTTCCTGTACGCATTACTAAATTTAAAAGGAGAAACTTTCGTTTTTCCTTTTGGGCCACCCTGCCTCGGTGGGATAGGGCCGGTTTGTTGAAAGAAGAAGAAGAAGAAACTTTGGGATACTTTGCTCCTATCTGGCATACAGTATACACATATAAAAATAATCATAAATGAATTTGACTACCGGATGGTTATTTTCTTACAGTTTGATAGTGGCTCTGCGACTAATTCGTTTGGTGAGAATAACACGCATCCTGTGGGAGAGACAGCACCTTCAGACTGGTGCTCGACAGTTTGTGTCCCAGAACAAGAGACGCTACCAGCAACATGGCTTTGACCTGGACTTGACTTACGTCACACACAGAGTCATTGCAATGTCTTTCCCATCCACAGGACAGATGTCCATGTATAGAAATGATATTAAGGTTAGAATCTTACTGTTTTTTTTTTGATTATTTGTGTTTTCGGGGTATTTATTGTTGGGAAATAAATTTATTAGGGGTTTCAACATCTTTTTGGGGGCATTATCAAATGTTCAAATTATTTTTAAAATCATCAATTATACGATCTTACTTTTTTTCCGGTCTTTCTTGCATGCTAAACAAAATGTCCCAATAAAACTTATAAGTAAAACCCTCCACGCTCGGAACAATCACGAAAGAATATCTAGATCAAAAAAGGGAGAATCACTGTGCAATTTACAAGCAAACATACTCTTAGGGGGGGATTGGGCCCTAGATTCTGCAAAATCATATTAGAGTTTTGTCAGAGGAAAGACTCTCCCTGATAATATGTGTTACATTGTGTTTTAGTGTAACCACAGTGGTCCCGTAACATAATAAAAAAATGATGAGGAAATTTATTTTAAACATTTTCAGCATCCCCAGAACCCTCCCCCCGGGTGGGCTAGTTTTACTTAGTACAATTAGTGAAACCCGGGAGTAAAACATTCCGTTGAAATGTGAAAGGTGCAAAAACCGAGGGAAAAACGAAAAAGTACAGTTTTGTAGAAATATGAGAAACAGTGTATAGTTGTTAGACTTATTTTGATGGAATGACGTATACATTTTCGGTAACACACTAAACCTGTATTACAAGGTGCATATACACAACGAAAATCAATTTTTCCTCCCCTAAACTTCATCCCAGAAGCCACCGGGTTTCCCAAACACGAATTTTTACTTTTGTTTAAACTGAATACATATTTTTTCCCGTTTAATTTTTTTCCAGTACTCCTTTTCTGATTCCAAAATCACCCATGACACAATCCAATTTTAAACGGATTTATTGATAAAAGGGATCCCTACTGGATTCATTTGTTTGGGGGGTTTACGTTCGTCTCAAAACCCCGACAGTAAATACAAAAAATAATACAAAAACAGATAACAGATCTACTGCTAAGGGTATTATTGTAAAAATATACAGTGATCCTTAAAAGGGTCGTCCAATTCGGGGGGATTCAAAAGTTTCATTTGGGAAAAAAAGCCCGATGGGTTAAAAAAAATTAATACCTGAGGAATTAAGACTACTAGCTAGGAGTTGTCAAGTGTTTAAAGACCACCACATGAAATTTGTTTTGTCGCAGAAGGGAAAAAGGGCGAAAACAGGGCCCGGATTCTTAGTCTTTGGGTCAATGCCCATGGAAGGGAAAGGGTTTTAAACCCGTGACCCACTTGACAATCAAAGATTTTTTTTGGGCGCCCAAACG